AGAGCTGGGAAGGCTGGTTTGGCCAGGTCCATCCTTGGCTCTGTTGATGGATGTAGTTACCCCTTTCAGATAGATCTAGGAGGAGTTTTGTGAAGTGAATGGATGAGTGGGCTCGGAAAAATTCTCTGATCAACATTAAAAAAACCTGCATGTCTTGCTTGAAGTGGTTAGCACACCCTCCAGGCTCCGTGTCAGTAGTTACAGAGCTGCTGGGACTCCTTTGCTCCCTTTGGTAACCTGTTATCACTGCACCCTTTGATAAGAGTGGCTGTACAAACCCCAAGCACTCTGTGCGGTGACCTTGCCATCTCCTTGGGAAGTCAGAGCAAAGCAACAGGACCCTGGGAACCATGGTACAGGTTCACGACAAGCCAATCTGCCCCATGGCTGATTCTCTTTCCCTAGGCAGCACAAGCATCCCTTGTCCTGGCACAAACAGCTCCTCACACAGTGCTTCAGCAGCTTATGGAGCCAAATGCCAGTAGTACAGGAGCTCAACAGTGCTCCTGCTCTTGGCAAAAGCCATGCCACCTCATGACTGCAGAAATAGTTTTGTTCAGAGAACAAACTCCAGAAACACATCATGCTCTATGCCCTGGTAAAAGCCAAGGAGTGAGGACTGTGCGCTGAGTAGTCTTTGTCACCAAGGGACATATTCCTAGGTTACACAATACTAAGTGGTAATTAATGTTCAAGGAAGAAATGAGCTCAAGCTGTGACTTTTGGAACTAGACCCAAATAACCTTAAACTAGAGGGTTTTGCCAAATATAGTGTGATTATCATCTAAGAAAAATGTGTTAGTAGCATATGAGCCAACCATAAAGTACACTTTGTTTCTCTCAGTTACAAAATAAGTTCTCACAGTGCAAATAAATATCAAGTGCAAACACAAGCTTTTTGAAATAACTTGAGCAGCCTAAAAACAAGGTGCATAGGCTCCCTCTGTAGTCAGCTCTTAGACATCTAGCCCTCAGTGCTGACCTGAATTGCTAAGATCCCATGATGCAAAGCACTGGTGTGTCACAGATTCTTTGGCAGTCCAAATTTGCTTAAAGATTTTTTGACGGGCAGGATTCACACAAGATTGGTTGTTGTCTAGCTACCTGCCGTCAGCCCCACCATGAGCTCAGTACTTTGTGCCCTGGTTAATTTGTCAGAAATGTCCCCGTGTGTCAACACCTTGTCCAGATCAGCTGTGTCCTGAGGAGTGTTCCAATTCTATTAACAGCTCTGGGTGCACAGATCAGCTAATAAGCACTGCTGTAGGCTCCTGCTCTATATGCGAATATATATCTGGAGGTACCTACGTGCTAGATGTTCAGCTTTTACATGGTTGACATTAGCCCAGGTGAAACCCTACAAAAAGCTACAATACAGCCGGTCTCTCCTTCACAACAAGGAGGACACCACCCTGCTTCTTCCCTCTCCTTTCCAGCTTCCCTCTCCCAGCAGCTCAAGCCATGTGGTCCTGTGCCTTCCCTTGTGCTGATTCTTTTTCATCCTTTTACTGAGCCCCTACAACCGACTACTGCAGATATTTGCTAGGATCAGCCTCTGCCTACTTAGTGAGTTGACTGAACGCACAGAGTACAGGACCAACAAGTTCCCGACCAAGCTGTAGGAAAGGTGATGGGACCTTTACACCAGGAAATCAGACTGACTTAGCCTAGCTGATGCACCTGCACCCCAATGCACAGGCAGTGCACCTGGTGGGTGCATGACCTGCTGTTTGTTTGGATGTTTCCAGTGATTCTCCATCACATTCCTCTGAACCTAGTATGTCCTCCTCAGGTACATGGTAGCATGTGATTATGGCAAACAGCATCATGCTCAGAGCTCTCTATTAAACATCTATGCTCTTAATATATTCACAGGAATCAGAGCTGTGATAAGGTTCAAATACATAGGTAAGCACTGAACCAAAATCACTACTAAATGGCGAGGATGAAAGAATGGTTCACTAGAAGGAAATCAATGAAGAAATGCTTACTTGTGCAAGAATAACGTCAGGAGGCACCAGAATGGAAAATTGTTTTAGCCTAAATTCTCAAAGATCTGAAAGCCAGTATCTCTGAAAAGCTAGCCTGCTAGATCTCTCTGCCTCAGTTTCTCAGCCTTCAGGAGTGATTTTGTGAGAAGATTCTTTCAGATCTTTGAATTGGGGCTATTGTTTGGTAGCCAGCAGTTATATATACTACCATAATCAGTATGCTTTTAATCAGTTTGGGGTTTTGGGTTTTTTTACAGCTGTATGGTGGGCTTTGCTTTGTTCAAATTTCACCCAACCCTTTGAGCCTATATCTAAAGCTCAGGAAGGTCAGAGTACAGGAACGTTTACCCCAGCTTTTGAAGGCTGACGTGTTTTAAAGCAGGCATGGTAATGCTTCACTACTGCAGACTGAAGGGATTACTGATTATAGCCAGTAAACCAGTCACACCTGACACTGTTTCGTGAACCTGCCACTGCAGAGCAATATGGGTCTTCTGTCAGAGGCAGAGATGTCCTCTGCCAGCAGAGCTTCTCTGGCTTGGCATGGCTTACATCTGTATACACCATTCCCAGTCACAGAATCATAGAATCAAGTGGGTTGGAAAAGACCTCCGAGATCATCGAGTCCAACCCTTGATCCAACACCGCCATGATTACTAGATCTTGGCACTAAGTGCCATATCCAAATCAGGGTGATTTTTTCTCTCCTGCCTACCAGAAACAGTCTACCTGGCATCACTTCCCCAACTGCCTGGACTTTGTGAGGTGCTAGCAACAATCAAGCAAAACAGTACTAGGGAGGGTGGCAAAATTTAAGAAGTGTGGATATGGGACAATGCTTGATCCCATACATAGTCCAGTTTAGTTTTTCAGTACAGATGTCGTCCTGGCAAGCTCTCATGCTGCCTCCATTCACATACACTCAGCTACACCAGCAGAACTGCCTGCATGCTTACTCCCTGCTTTGTCCCCAGTGAAGTAGAAAAAACCGCACTTAAAGACATCATACGGATGCACTCATCCATGTGACAAGAGTCACATGCCCTTACATTGGTGAGATGGACCGCTCAATTTCCCTAAGACTGGTAACACCATAACACAGGAGACAGTCTTATCAGGATATTCAAGGCCAGCTTGGGTGACAATAACAAAAAACCTTTAGACATCATCTTCAGTATGTGAAGATACTCGTGGTCACTTCCACTGTAGGACAGTACTTTGCTTCCTGGAGATTAAAGAAAATGCTCAAGTGACAGTGGAGGTTTTCCAAAAGAAATAACATTAATCTGCTGCAAAATCAGACATACAACCTTCTGCCATGCGAACACCATACTTGCAGAATTCTCTCTTCTGACTTTCCCCAGCATGAAACTACAGTAGGCAAAATCAGGAAAGGGAGTAAAGAAGATTTTCAGATTTTATGCACTTCTTCTTGCATTTAATTCAGTTTTGGCTAACACAGGCTTTAGCTGATAACCACTGCATCACATATGTGCACTGCTGAGTAGTCTGTGTGCAGGTGGGTGCAAGATTTAAAAGCTGCTACCGCAGAGAGCTCTTTAACAGGAGGAGTAGTCCATTCTCTGCTTTTGATGTAAATCAGACTTGAACAGAGATAGGTAAACTGTTCAGTTGTACATGGTCAAAGATCTGGTCTTTTCTTAGCTGCAAAAGATGTTTATTGCAAAGTAGCAGTCCTGTTTGTGATTCATGACATTTCCTAGGTATGCTGGTCAACAGCACTTGTTATTAATAGCCCTTTAAAATATCACATTACTTATCACCTCTGTTTTCCTCATCATTTAGTTTTGTGCTTCATAAAACTCAGAGAGGTCACTGAGTGCTCCTCGGAAAAATTAACCCAGGGACAGCAGCCTACTCAGAGGTTCCCTTCAGAAGCACTAACCAAGATACAAAGTTGTTAGTCTGTCTTAGAAAGATTTGCAGATGGCAGAAAGATGTCAGAAAATCTGCAGGCATAATTCTTTGCCCATAGATGTTTTTTGTTTAAATCCACACTTTTGTTGTTCACCTGCACTGAACCTCTTGTAGTCCTCCATCATTGCAGAGAATGGGGAACAACATGAATGGACCTTATGCAACCACAGCTATAGGAACATGATTCATACCCCTCAGTAAAGGAGGCTGAGGATGTCTCCATTGCTTAACGACACATTTACATATTAGCATTGTCTAATAAATTCACGTTAAATAGCTGTAAAATGTTCGTGAGACAGGGCTGTAGCTTGCAGCAGCCTCAGCCCTCTGTCCCCCAGGGTGCAGGGCAGGAGGCAGAGGGCAGGATGGGCATACAAAGGCTGGTCACAGGTCTCAGAGCCACTCTAGGCTCCCTGAGTGTGGGACAGCTGCCTGTGAAGCCCTGTAAGTTCAATTTGGTCACCTCTGACTTAGAAGTCCCAACTCGTACTGCAGTGACTGGTCTGCTTCCTATTTGAGGCACAACACTGTTCTTTAGCCATTAAGTGCCTAAAAGAAATCTGCCCTGTTATGTTTTCTCTGTGTTGTCTTCTTCTATGTCCACAAAGCAGCATGCAAGCAGTGATCTATGTCCACCGTAGTTTTGAGGATAAGGTTTTTCAGTTGTACATATTTACATATATGAGGAAGAGAACCATATTGTTTTTATAATATTTACGGCCTCTGAAAATACTGGACAGCAGTATTACCACCTACCCTTTACTGTGCAGTGATGGACTCTCAGTGACAGACTGAGATGGCCATAATCTAAGATATCAGATCTTTTATTTCAAATATGTCAGATATAAAACAAATTAACAACAGAGGCAAAAGAAAAGAGCCAAAATGTGTTTAGAAATGGCATTTGAGAAACAAAGGCTGCAATGCATGGTTTGACAATTGACAAAGTTAATTATTACTTTTTTTGTGAGTTTTGGGCAAACACTTCATTTGTTGTTTAAGCATGCAGTGAAGGCCAAAGCCCTGGAAAGCAACAGAGGTAGATATTTTAATGAGTCGTGACATACAAAGATGCCAACCCTGAATGACTTTTCAGAGCAGGTAGGAGAATTTGACTTCTTCCAGAAAAAAAACCCTCTTTGTTTTATGCCTGCTTTCTGCTACCTTTTTTCTTATTTACGTGGGGATTTTTTTCCTGGGTTTCATCCCTGAGCACCATCACTGCAGCCCCAGGGTGGCTGAGCTGAGCCAGCGGTGTGGCTGGAGTCTGGAGAAGCAGCTGAATCACACAGTCCCCAAGTGGGATGGCCATGGGTCCAGTTACAACAGCCGCTGCAGGAGGTACAAGGTGGACTGGAATGCAACAGGCATCAGCTGCAGCGAACCCCCCAGCAGCCTTGTGGGCAATGGGAGCACTGTTCCCCTTGGTCCCTGCTGGGATGGCTGGGTTTACAACTTCCCAGGGAGCTCTCTTGTGACCAAGGTAAGACATAGCTTGTTCTGAAAATTCACTCTTGTCTGCACAGCTTAAAGCTAGAAGAGGCTGGATTAGTAAAGTTTGCTTTTGGTGTACAGTCTGAGTCTTACTGCTAATAAGTAGTGAATACCAGAACTTGGTAGGCACTTGGAGCAAAGATTTATATACAGAAATAATGAGAAATTATTGCTTTTTTTGGGAGCATAATACTACCATCTTCTCATCAATTAAGCCTTTCATCAATGGCTATTCTCATAATTCATTATTTCCATCAGCAAACTGAGGGTAGCACCCCATAGCCCAAACTGCACATTTGTGTGATAATCCAAACAGATATTCACTTAAAATGAATAAGAAGCAGAGGATGCTTTAGCAACAGCAGGGTTCTTTTCTCTCAACTTGCAGTATCTAAACCAGATAACCTAAAATATGAAAAACTGTGCAAACCAATACCAACAGTCTAAAAGCCTGAGACCTGAAGCATAGGAAGGACCTCAAAACAGATCTCTCCTAGTTCTCTACCAGTCCCAAATCTGTATTAGCTATATCTGAACCATGCCTAACAGATGTTTCTGTAACTTGTTCTTTAAAAAGTGCAATGTTGAATACTTCACAGTATTCTTTGGGCAGGGTATTCATATTTCCTTGCTTCACTATCATCACTGTTACAAAGCAAGTCCATCTCATTTTCCCTTGGGACAGATGGGCTGGGGCAGAAAAAAGCACTCCAGCTGTTCTCCACACCAGGGAAACAGAGCTGAGCTGTTTAGTATGGTCCCTGCAAACTTGTCTGTGTTAGAAAAGGACATACATGCTTCTTTCTGGGCTGAAGTCTAACCACACTTGGGTGAATATTTCCAGCTGTAGAGAAGCTATTACCAGTTTGTCCTCCTCCCTTCACTTGGTGCACAGTGGTAACCTCTTAATTGTAAACCAAAAGCAGGTTCCCAAGTATTCATTTACTGCAGAGAAAAGTCAGCCAAAATCCACTTTTGACAGTGCTAATGAGATGTGAGACAGGCATCTTGTGGCTCCACCCCAGCAGATCTCATAGTAGCACCTCCATTTCTCACACCCAGCAAGCACTGCTTTTATGCAGCAAGGTTATGCATGGTTTGAGACAGATCTTGGCGTCTGGGAAGGATACAATGCCCCAAGTGTCCTCCAGATTTCAAGCAGATGGGTGGGGATGAGAAGATTTTTCTGAACTTATTTATTTGTTTGTTAGGAGTTTCTCTCCCTTTCTTGCTCTCCTTATGTGTCATTATGCAATCATTTTTCAGGGTGTAACCTTTTTCACAAGGTTTGAGAAAATCTGGACAAGATCTGTTGCAGATGTCAGTTTAAGAGGTTAGAAGATTTCTTTTCTGGAGTCTGTTTACTCATTGGTGTCATTGGCTTCCTTCCTCCTCAAAGAGCCATGCTTTGTGGGGAATGTTCCTGTGCTTCTAACGGTGGTTGCCCTTGCAGTTTAATCCGGTGTGTGAGGACTCCTGGAAGCTAGACCTCTTCCAGTCATGTGTGAATGCTGTGGTTTTTATTGGCTCCATGAGTGTTGGCTACATAGCAGACAGGTAGGCAGTATGTAGCCAGGTATGAGATTAACTGTTTCCTCTGGTTATCTGCTTTCTGCATGTTGTTGAACAAGATTCATGATTTGAAGGGAAAATTAATGCAGTCAAAACCTGATTCAAAAGGTCTATGTGTCACAAAGGGGTGGATGGTAGTTTCTAAGGCCCTGCTTTTAAAGTTGTGACTCAGGAATCCACAGAAATGCAATGGTGCTGCTCCATTATATGGCTCTGGGGAATTTGCACATTCACAAGTGAAGGGATTTTATTTTTTCTCACAGCTACAAACTGCAATGCAAGCTCAGAGTCCGAGATGAAATTTCATCGCATGCACCAAAACTATTTGTTAATCTTTGCGATAAATTTGTTTCACATTAATTTTAACCGTATCCAGATGGTCATAAATCAGTTAATATTACTGTGGAGAACAAGAGATATTTATTTTGGCTGGCATTTATTATCATGCTATTTTTGTTAGTGGATAATTAATAATTTAACGGCTTTCATAATTCATACTTTTAACTGAATATATATCTCTGCCAGCTAGAAAACAAATGCCTTTCCAGTGTTCCAGTAAGCTTGTTTCTTTTGGAAACTGCCTATTTCTATCAGTGAGTCACAGTGATACAGGGAATGACAAATAACAGGGATGTACAAAACTCTATTTAAGAGCTCAATACTCAGCCAAGGTTGATAAAATATGTAAAGATCCCAGTTAGCAAACAAGATCCCCATAAAAAGCTATTACAGCTTTGAAACATGGGCTGAGGAGCCATATCAGAGCATTCTTGAACTCATTAGCTAAATCATTAACCAGACGTAAGCAATTACCTGAAGACAAGACAGGTGAGTCCTGTGAGCTTCCACTGAGATGGAAAATGTCGCAAAAGGAAGAGCAGATATGGACTCCTACTCAAAATGAACAGAGAAGAGAGGGGCAGGGACCCTCTCTAGCCTCTTCAAACCCTATCCTACCAGGGCTGAGCCTTGTTCTTCTCTTCTTTCCCTCTGCAGGTTTGACTGCAAACTCTGCCTTCTGGTCACAGTCCTCATCAACGTGGTTTTGGGGGTTCTGATGCCCTTTGCACCAAGCTACACCTGGACAGGGATCTTACGCCTGATACAGGAACTGGTCAGCAAGGGGGGCTGACTGACAGGCTACATCCTCAGTTACAGCAGTTTGCAATTACACCTTCTGGGCAGGAACCCTCTCTTTAGCAGCAAGGCTGACCCCCGCTGGTGCCATCTGATTTTCAAAGCACTGTATATGACAAGAGCAGACAGTGACACTGTGCTATTCATTGCCAAACTGCACCTCTCTGCTTAAATGCAGGTGCTTATGACCCAAGCTTGCACCAGCTCATAGACATAAATTGAATAATTCAGAGGCAGCTCTGAAAACTAGGGAATGTTCATAGCTGGAGAGCACACATCAAAATGAAGGGCAAGGTCTAGAGACAAGAACAACTTGAAAACACTGTGAAGACGTATGGCACCTTCCTGGGAAAGGCAGCAAATGGTGCTGTGAAAGGTAACACTTGTGTTTTACAGCCTTGGTGCCAGAAGGATTTTTGCTGCCCTGCATCAGGTGCTTGGTGGGTAGAGAGGCTCCCTAGCTGTGTGGGAGGAGGGAGATGGAGGCAAGAGAGTGACATTTGTCTGTTTTATTTTGCCATTTGATTCTTAGATTGAAGAAATGCATTGAGGAAAAACAACCTTTACCCTGTGTTGCTGGGTGAGGGCCTGACACTCTGGAAGGCAGGGGTGAAGTCCCCAGCTGAATGGTGGAGGAGTAAGTCAGGACTTGCCCTGTGATTTACACCAGGGACCAAGACCAGCTCTGCATTCCCATCCAAACCCAGGCCAGTGTGCCATGACACAAGGGCACAGCTGAGCATGGGGGCTACATGGGGTCTCAGTTAGCAAGAGTTATGTTCCCCTGGCTCTCCAAACCAATCTATTTCTGCTCATATGACTTGTCTTTGCAGTTGCAGAACTTGTTGACTCAGACTACCGGAGGGCAGTGGGCATCACTTACCAGCTTGCCTTCAGCCTGGGACTCCTCATCTTCACCGCCCCGGCTTATGCACTTCCACACTGGAGGTGACTCCAGCTTGCAGTCACGCTGCCCAATTTTTTTTTCCTTCGCTACTATTGGTAAGTGCCTGGTCTTGCAGCTGCCAGTAATGCCACACCACACCGATAAAACCAGGGGACTGTAGCTGAGAGCTGATGTTTCTCCATAGGGATTGGCTATAGCTCTACATGTAGGATTTCCAAGATGATACTGAATGAGATCTGGTGTTTTTCTGTTTCCTCTGCCCAAAAGTTTACTCTGAATCACCTAAGAGGAAGGGACTACCTTCAACACATTGTAATGTTTCTGTGTTTGGGGTCCTTGATACACATCAAAAAATAATAATGATTTCTTGAATAGTACTTGAGCTACTGTCAGAAGGGAGTTTTTTAAATAATTGATTATAATTATTTTTTAATGCAATGAACACACTTTTTTTTTTTAATGTGAGTAAAAATTCTCCTTAGAAAATTCCATAACTAGATCAGGGAGCAGAACTGGGAGGGTTTTTTTGTTTGATCTTTTTTTTAAAGGTTATTTTTAACATGGAAGAAACTAAGGATCAGGTTTACAGCTATTCTTTCTTATATCCACAGGCTATTAGCTATTTCTAAAATATGTCAAGAGAATTTATCTCAGACTAATGTTTCTACACTATAATAAACTGAGTTTAGATTTAAAAAAAAAAAGAATTAGATTCAGGCTACCTTGTCATTCAAGTGAAGCACGAATCAGTGCAATCACTGGCAGCCACAGCTACCACTGAGTTCAGCACTGCCTATGGATCCTCAATACACCTTGGAATTCTAGTCTCAGCAACTCAGTTCCATTTTCATTTTCCGTGTACCAGTAATGTGCATTTTCCTTCCCTGTAGCTGTCATGCTTATATGTGTTGCAGGTATCTGCCTGCGTCTCCCCAGTGGCTAATAGCTCAAAAGCAAAACGATAAAGCTATGGAAGTTATTAAGCACATTGCCAAGGGAAATAAGAAGAAGCTACCTCTTTTTTTCCAGGTGACTGCACTGCATTTGCTGCACATCTGCGAGCCCTAAGCAAAATAATGCTATGACTTTAGGATTGTGTTGGGTTTAGAGTAGGGAGCAGGTTGGTGGTCAAAATCACTGTAGTTTCCTAAAGCAAAGGCAAGTGAATTTTCTTTACTTTCACTGCTTGAGACCTTTGCAGAGCATATTTGGGAAAAAGAGGCTTGCAAAAATATCCAGCAGGTAAAAAAATTCTTCTTTTAAGTAGCATCAATCAAGAGGAAACTTGCCAAATCTCTACTTAAAATTTCAGAACAGCCTTATTTATTATTTTTTTAAACACCGCTTCATGCCATACATATGACTAGAGAGATACAAAGACTGCCTGTATAAATCCTCATATTTCCTTTCCCCACAACACTCCAGAGAAGTTATTTTGCCCTCAGTTGGCAAAATGAAAACTCTTATCCTGTCATCAATCTAGAGGAAAACACTTATTATAATGCTCACCACCCTCTCCCCTACCCACTGTAATCTCTTGTCCTGTGATTTATGCTCCCAGAATTTCAGCTCTGAAGATGAAGGTAAGTTGAAACCTTCATTTCTAGACCTGGTCAGGTCACCTCAGATCAGAAAATACACATTCATTTTGATGTATAGTTGGTAAGGATGGGAAAGCTTTTGCAGATCGAATGGAAGTGTGTGATCCAGTGCCCTTAAACCATCATTGTTGATTTAAGCCTATTTTGCTCCTGACCAGCTGCAAATCTCAATTCTTTGCATAAACTCTCTCCCAAGGGCGTTGGCTTCATTTGCACCCTCTTCTCTGCCCAGGTTCACAAGCTCTGTCCTCTACCAGGGGCTCATCGTGTACATGGGAATAGCTGCCGGGAACATGTATCTGGATTTCCTCTATTCTGCTCTTGCGGAGTTCCCAGCCACCTTCATTCTCATGTTAACACTGGATCACATTGGCCATCGCTACACCCAGGCTGCGGCTAACGTGATGACCGGGGCTGCTTGCCTGGTTACGGCATTCATCCCAGACAGTGAGTTGTGCAAACCTCCTCTGCCAATGAATTCTCTCCCTGTCTCTTGGTTGCTGTTCTGGAAAATAGAAAACACTCCTTGTTAACCTGGCCCATGTCAGTATTGTGATCCAATGAAGGCAAATACCAGAAAAGCTAATTTATGTCCCACCATCAGATTTTATACCTACTAATGAGAGGCTTGAGAAATGGGGTCAACTAAATTTCCAAAATAGCATCAAATCAGATTGTAAGTCTGCAGGTACTAGGTCAAAGAGCATGCCTCGTTAAGTCCACAATTTTTATCTGGCCAAAAGCTTGGATTTGAATGAACAAATCAGGGGTTTCATCCAAAAATCCATGTGCTTTGTTTCTAAAAAGGAAAAATGTATAGGCACATGCACACACTTAAATACCATCTGGATGCAGTAAGTCCTTTCTGCCATCAACAGTGCTGCTCCCATGAATGTATGATGTCAAACAACCATGGTGGCAGACATTTGTCTTTGGTTCAGTTAAGCGTTCACTCCAAGGCCATAGTCTCAAAGCAATGTGACACTCAAGGGTCACTGAATGAAGTCTTTCCTTTTGTTTTATGGAATATAAGTAGACTAAAACTACAGACATAACAGTGCCATGCAACTATGAGTTCGCAGGGGGTACAAGAACAAACACACAAAATGTTACATAAAAACTTTGTATGTAAAACCCCGAAGTGTTTCTTGAAACTTTTGGTAAGAACACTGAAACTTTAAGGTTTTGTTTCTAAGTTTCATTAGTTCTCCAGTGACTCTGCTTAAATTGTTAAGCTTGTTAAGGTAGTGAAAGTTGTTAAGATCTAAAATGCACCGCAATCGAAGCAGCTGTTGAGACAATTTAGTTCAAATAACTTATTTAAAAGGTTCTTAAGCATCTCCATGCCTTGTTAATTAATGTATTCACGTTATTGCCACAGAAGGGGAATTTTCTTGGGGTTTTGCCCCTGTCTCGAGGAGAGGGGGAAGGAAAATCTTCTTTGTTGTCTAAAACCTTTAAAATTGCTTTTTGAGTTTGTCTCTGCAAAACCAAAACACTAGACACCTGCTAGAGCAGACAAGACAAACTGCTTTCAGTGAGAATGAAGAAAACTTTTCTGACTCCTGTGATATCCACAAATGATGGGAACCACTGAATGCTTGCTTTTGTGTTTGCAAGTGGCAACGTGATAAAGGGTTTGATTTTGTTATTAAGATAATGTTCAAAATGTTTATAGATTGTTTTCTAATTGTTTCAGCAAGTGAAAGGATTCCCTGATAATTTATATAAAGACTTATATAGGATTTCATGTGAAGATTGAGAATGATAAACAAATATTTGATTCCTTCTGCCCTTACAGTGTTAAAACATGCAACACATGGAGTTACACACAGCCTTCGACCTTGAGGTAAAAGGACAATAAAAGCATAAAATGGCTTTTTGCTTTTGCTTCAAGCTTCAGCTAAAAAATCACCTCAACCTTCAACTTTGAACTAAAGGACAGTTAAAAGCATAAAATTACTTATATTTCTTTACTTCAAAACTGACCATTCCTGAACAAAAAGCTACAGAGAAACTGCATATTTGCCTAACCTCTACATCTGTTTCTTCCACGCTAGCCACCTGTTTAAATTATTATTAACATGTTTGTTAAGTTTGTTATTAAAAGCAAAAAGCAGCTAACAGAAATAGATGGACAAAAGCTGAAAATTAACTACATTCTAGAAATCACAGACAAACTGGTTACTTGCAAAGGATGCTAAGTTTTGAGCTATGTTAACATATTATAATAATAATTTGTTTTATATACTGTGTTATTGTGATGATAACTTAGTCTAATTGTTTACAGGAGATGCTGAGTTTTAAGTTATGTTAAACATATTGTGATGATAACTTGTGTGTATATCTTTGAGTTTATTAACTATTGGTTTTCTATAACAAAAAAAGGGGGGGAAGAAAGCAGGTAAGATGTGATATAGGTTTGATAAGTCTTATATTCTTCATATTAATTCATTTTTAAATTTTCAAAACAGGTACAATTGCCAGATATGACTACCAGAAGTGACAGATTGAAAAACATGCAACCAATAACCACTTATAAATCTAAAATTTGTAGTTAAAAATTAGGGACATAATAAAAATTCTAAGTATGAATGGGTGGGTATGAATGAAGTGGCCACTTCTGTATGAATGAGAGAAGCTGTGTGAACATGTACGTGTGTGAACAGAGATGCTTCATGTGCCATGAACAAATTACACTTACATCACAACACTGGTTCTCTAAGGGCCCTTTTCTAGAAATGGAGTTGAATTTCTCCTGGTTACCAATTACATGCAGGCCCCTGGAGAAGTGAGAGTCGATGTTTTATCCGGTTATGCAAAAACCCTCAGGTTAATAAAGTTGTTGTTTATCCCAAATACACACAAACCCTTAAGAAATGAAAGTACAAATTTATGTCAAGCAAGTCTCAAAGATTACAGGTAAAGGTTCAAATAAGTAAGTCTGTTAAAAGACCAAAGTGATGGAGTGGTAATTGTTAAAGGACGTTTACAAAGTTTAAAATGCGCTGTTGTTGCACTGTTTCCGTGACTCGTCTTAAATATTTAGAGTGGGGGAGATGTAGGAGTCGGGTTTCAGGAAAGGTGCCGAGCCACACCCTGGGAAATGTAGTTACTAAGTACTCCCACGCACATGGGCACTGAGATGCTCTTGGTGGTTGGTCAAGAGAGTCACGTGTTACTTTGAACTGATGATAAAAAGTGTTGTTTGAATTGAATAAACGGATTTGGCTGTGCACCCCCCAAGAAGCTAGTCGGGTCCGTGTAACTTATTTACGTATTATAATAATATGCCACAGAGACGTACCTCAGAAATATCAGCAATTAAACTGAAAAATAAGAATCATGTAGATGAAAAGTGTTATTACCACTTTGAGGAGTCCTTATTCTATCATTAGGGCAGACATGTCTTAATGAGAATTAATTAGCGACTTGGACTTAAACATGGGCATGACCATTGCATTGCCTTTTATGATCCTTGTTCTGTGCTTGCAGCTGTGATTGTTCTAATAGACAGCGGCTTAGTTTTGCTTCTACCTGAAATGAAGGGAAAGGCTCTGCCTGAAACTATTGGAGATGCTGAAAATCTGCACAGGTATGGCATTAAGTAACTTCAGGGCAGAGAAACTCTCCTTTACATCTGCAAAATGTGCTAAAAAAAGCCCCGTTTTTTATACATCTCTGGGAATCTAAGGGGTTTTGTTGCACACAGCGGATGGTTGGTGTGTGACCCATCCCTGATAGTAATATCAGGCTCTGGGCTCTTGTATGATCTGACCACAATCCACAAAGACCTTACACGTGAGCCAGACATTAAGAGAAGGCATGGAAGGTGGTTTCATGGGCCATCTGAAAAGCACTGATTAGTGAGAGGACTGCTGATGCCCTCAGAGATGCTCCCACTTGACAGGGACAAAGCTGGCTGAGATGTGGTTTTAAATTTGTGGAGCAATGCAGTGAATGTCCTGTGATTTCAGTGCTTTTGACTTCTGGCACAACTTGCACCTCCTGGAGTACCTCCCAGGGTGAGGGTAGAGCTCCACAGATACTGAAAGAGTCACTTGAATTTACCGAAGCTCATGTGAAGCCAAAAGATACTTGTCCTGGTAGAAACTTGGGTGTGGAAAAAAAAGGACCTAGCCTGGCCAGAAAGAGATGGCAACATAGCACAGGGTAGAGCAGGGAGAGTTTGCCTCTAGGAAACATTAGGAAAATCATACATGCAACCACACGCACAGATGTGACTTTAGAAACCACCTACAATAGGAGATTTTACAGTAGGAAATGCCAGAGTCAAACTTACTAAAGGTACCATTGTGATATGATTTCCAGACAGCAGCACAGCTGCAACAAGGCCACAGAAAGTCTCCAGTTTACTCCTTATTCTGCTGCTCTTCAAAATAATCTAACCTCATTTGAACAATTGCCAGTGATGAGATATCAGTTAAACCTAGTTTTCAATGTATGTAAGCATACAGATTATTCGATGGATCACACTGTTAGGCACCAGGTGCATTACCTGCCTTTTCCCCTTTCATTCCACAGGCAAGAGAGAAGTAAAGAAAAAATTATTTATCTCCACATTCTGACTTCCGAAGTTGCCCCCAAGTAATGGCCCATTTTACCCTGGTTCTGCCTTTGTTGGGGCAGGGAGGCAGAAGGGGGCCAGGAGAGCAGCCACAACAAGCCCAGCCCTCAGCCCCACATGCAGGGGATGAGCTGTCCTTACTCTGGTATCTTGGCGCTGTTGCACTCCCCCAGCTGCCAACACTCTGAGGCTTGGGGACTTCCCAAGCCAGATGTTGTCTGGTCACATTTCTGCTTCACTCCCTCACAGACTGTCCTGTAAATTTTTCTATTTGCCTTCCGAACACGTGTCCCGGGGCATCTGGCAGCAGCAACTCATATGTCGTGAGTGGGAAATTCATGAGGGAACACTTTCTTCTACTTCTTATAAAACTAATAGCACATTTCTATAGTGAGCAGGAATTAAGTCATGAGCCCAAATCACCTGTTCCAAGCTCCACCTGATTCTGCATGAAAGTAAGCACGTAGGCAGTAGCTGATTTACTGTCATAATTTCCTCTACATTCCTAAAAATCCTGGTGCCGTCAGTCGCTCTGTGCAATTCTTTCCAAAACCCAGTCAGTAAGGGCTCGAGGGTACTCTGAAACATGGAGATTTTATGTTCTCTTTAGGCACAGCTCTTGTAAAGTCCAGGTTTAAGTACTTAGGTGAGGGACAGGGTCTTTTTAAAGGGCTAGTCCCACTTTAATTAACCTGGACACTGCCCTGTTTGCATGCTCCTTGGGTTGCCAGAGTCAGATGGTGGTAGGCCCTTCCTTGGGAAGTGCTCCTTCCCAAGCTCCAGAGACAGCCCTGCCAGTGAGCTGGTTATGCTCCAGCAGCCCCAGGAACAGACAAACTTCAGCTGCTATTAAGAGGAAGGGAAGCTGGCAAACTGTTTTATCTGAAGCAGGAAGTGAGCTTGTCTCATGCCCTGGAAAAGATCTACTCCTACCACCCACTCAGAACACAAAGTCACTCCACATTTTGAGATCAACCATATGCAGCTGGACCTGATTTTACATATCTCTTAGACTTCAAGTCCAGGAAGAAATCCATAAATAGACAAAGGTCACCAGTAAGGAAATGAATGAAGCACATTTGCTCTTGTGCTCATTAAGGTGCCACCAAGAAGCAAATGCCATTATCACTTGTAGGTGACTGCAAAGCAAAGGCACACCACAGCCACAGTTGTAGCTCCTACTGTGGCAGTAGTGGTGCTTATGGAAATAAAACCCATGCAATGGGGTAAGGGTCTCGAGAGTCAGCTTTTGTAGTTACTCATTTATTCATCTCAGTATTTGCTTTGCTTGACTTGTTACTGCCTCCTCCATTTTCTTTCTGCAGAGTTTTCAACAGGTTTTGCATCAATGAACTGTAAGTCAGCTGTTCTGACAGATTTATTTTATTGCAGAGCAGAGACATCTCTGCAACCACAGCAGGAAACTAGCTCTGTAAGACATAGAATTACATCCCCACTGTCCTGTGAAGGAGCAAGATTCAGGACGTGAACAGTTCCAGGTACGGAGAAAAGCATACAGCAATTGGCAGGACTTTATTATATGGACCTTACAGTTACTATATGGGCTTTACTGTTATTATGTGGTTTCATTGTATTCACACTACACAGTGCACAGCCTGCACATGCCCAGGCTTGCCATGAGTTTGCCTGCTCCCTGCTTACCCCGCTCCTCCCCCTTTTGCCCGTGTCCCTATCCTGGTTTGTCCCCCTGCTTGTCTGTCTCATGCTCCGCCCTATGTTCTGGCCCTTTCCCCTCCCGAGCTGACAGAAGACTGTGTGCACAGGTGAATAGAGGATTCTACCTGCACCCTTCCTCGTGTCCCATCCCCTCTTCAGACTGCGGCACTGTCCCTCTTGCGCCTCTCAGGACAAGCTTGTTCCCCTCTGACCCTGAAGCAAACACTAGTTTTGCAACTGCCTGGGCCAAAGTCATGTCATTCCCGATCAGTCCCTGCGCTTCTCAGGGCAACCTTGTCATGGCTCTGCCTCACTGGACAACATGCTTTCCTGCCTCTGAGGCCCTCACAGCAACACTGAACATTAACTGAGGCTCAGGTCAATTGAAAGCAAGGGCAAGGTCACCATACTGCCACACTGGGAGGCAATTCTGGCAGAATTTCACTCTGCCTGCTAGAGTTCAGCATGCTTTGCTCAGATGGGAGCTTTGTCCCTGCAGGTGACTATCTAAGGGTAGAGGTGTCTTGTTCCGTGCTCACAGTATCCTTATTGAAAACCAGTGTTCCCCAGCAGTGACAGGGACCAGCAACACAAACAGCAAAGGGGAATCATAGGACCATTGTGCTTATTTTGCTTTGCAACCACAAGTCTGTTACATTTGCTCACTGGGATGGACTACGAAATTTGTGAAAGCTGCTGGGTGTTTCCTGGCAGACCCAGTGCTGTCCCTGATGTTGCCTGAGACACAGGACCCCTGGTCAGGGTCCTGCAGGTCCCTAGGCCTGAGCCCAGCTCACTCCAAAGGAATGCCCCTGTAGGGCACACTTATAAGGCTATTACCTTATGAAATATTATGAGTCTTTCACCTATGCACTCCTCTTCACACTCTGGAGTTGCCCCATGCCCATCTTATCCATCCCTGTGAATAGCCAATTAAATAGGAGAAAATAAAATAATTTTTTTTTAAGTCTGTGCAAATCTATTTCAAGTTGTAACATGAGTGAACTAGGTTTGTAGTTACCTTGATTCGCCAACAGACATAAGTCTCTGTTATATTATGCTGCCCCTTTGTAAGAAAAAACAAAGGCAGACTTCATGGAGGGATGGATCCCACCATTCCCAAGTTAAGATCTCTCCCCATGTTGAAGTCCACAGAGCTGGTAAAAGATTTCCCAGCTATAAAATATATTTATCTTTATATAGAGAGAGGGAAGCAACTCTGCAGCAATAGGGACAATCCCCTCAGAAAACCCTAAACATTGTAAATAAAAAATATGCAGAGAAATAAAAAAAAAATTAAAAAAAAATAAAATAAAATAAAAGAGGCAGAGGAAAGACTTTTCAGAGAGTATTTATTCCAATTTACCTTTCCATGCTACTGCCCTAAAGCAGACTACCCAGCAAGAGTTGCACCTTCTTCAGTCATGTTCTGCTGTTTTGACATGGAGATAGATTTTTTTGGCCTTTGGAGCACTTTGCCTGCAAGAATAACAAGACATGAACATCAACCAGGAATTAAGGTGTTCAGTGAGCACCTAACTTCAAGTTCTTCACCTGCTCTGCCTTGGCCCCAAGAAAATTATCTATTCTTCTAGGTTTGTTCTGGCTTCTTAGTAGATGCAGGTGCTTCACACACCACATGCGAAGCTGCTATCGAGACTGTCCTTTTTTTATTCTGCTATTAAGGTTTCTTTAAACACAATGTTTATTATTGCACCACATTTGAGAGACTAGTGCAGTTTTATTCGCAAGACAGTAAAGGCTTGGGCTACTTTTTTTCAGATGCCTAGGTGAACATGTGGTAAAAGGAGTCCAAAGTCTGTCCAGTGAGAGTCTTGAAATTAACTATCAACTTCTTGGAAACAAAGAAGGCAGCCAAGTAACCCCTGGGCTTCCCCAAGGGCCTCTGGACAGAGTTTTTGCCCAATTTCAAGTGAAAGCTGGTAAGAGGTCATCTTCACGGCTCACCTGTGAAAGTTTTCAACATCCTCCACAGTCTCAGGCAAAACTCTTCCTTTAGTTTCAGGCAAAAGCAACACCAATCCACCCGCAATCAAACCAAGAACAGCTTCAAATCAAACAAGACACAAAGAGTTTGTAAACATATACCAACTACAGCCTGACAGAAAGGACTTGTCAATGGCATTTTCTTATCTTCTTCATACAAGGTGTGCACCTCAAGCCTCTATATGCAAAACTGCCATGCCACCTCTGGAGTATGTGGCTGCCATATAGAGACAGCAAAAAGACAAGTTCTCTTGTGAGTTATGCACCAAACTAGGACACTTCAGACTGGACAGACAAACCTTCTGTCTTTAGAGGAAGGATTTATAGTGGAAAGAACCCTTTCCATTGCAGGAGTATGCCAGAAAACATATTCTATTTCTATGCTATTCACATAAGATTAGAAAATACATACAGAACGTATTATCTCCTAAACAATGTGATTAACTTCTCCACTGATAATTCCTTTTACCCAGTTTGTACATATTTGGCATATATATTTTAAATCTACTAAGCACCTTCTAGATGCCCTGTTAAAAACTGCATATTTTTATTCAATACATTTTTCCATAAATAATGTGCTGATCTAAAGACTCGGAAAAGTGTTGCAGACCCTGAACTGAGAGTTCAGGTCACTAGTCTGCAAGCACTTATCTTGCATTTATTTACCAGCCTCTTTCCAAATAGCTGGACAATAGCCAGTTAACAGACTGTAGGAATAGGTGAAGCATAACAGCCATACTTGTATTCCATTGAACAGGCAATTCTTTAGTTATGTGAAATTCTAGAGTTTGACTCCTGGACTAAGACAATATATCTCACAGAAGTGCAGTAATTCATCAGCTTTGAATCCATCAAATATTAATCTCAATTTTTTTCTCAGGTCTTTGCCACCTGTCGAACCTGTATTCACCTCTGACTTCCTTTAAAATGCAAGAAGAAATAATAAGGGCAAAGGAGATATGAATGCATAAACAAGCTCCAGCTTGTCATAAACTGAAAGCTATGGCTTTACAGATAGCAAGGAGCTTCTGCTGAACTTACAGCAGCTGACTCAGTGGCTTTTCCCTCCTTTTAAACTCGGGTCCCACTGCTGCACCCTGGGAGAGGCCAGCAAGGAGGTAAGGTGGCACTTACTGAAGACAATCAGTGGCAGATCATGCCAGACTTCCACCAGTCTGTAGACAATGAATGGGACGATGACTCCACCAACATCGCACAAGGAGGAGCAAACCATCACCCCGAGATTCCTGGTTCAGTAGCAAAGGGATCATGTTAGCATCAGAGTACTTCAGTTGGAAGGGGATGGATCACAACTCTGAGCCTTACGCAGGACAAATCTA